GGACCAAATGTAATCGCATGGCAGAATGCTGTAGACCAAACTTCAGTCAGGAGAACAACTGAGATAATCCATCCACAATACGAGGTTAGTCATTCATATATTGCTGCATGGGCTGGGCTGTAGTTACATTGCAAGGTTTTAAAAACTGAGCTTAAATAAATGATTAGCGGTAATAAAGCCGAGGGAGGTCAACAGTGATCACTGACTGTTTTTAGGAGCTTTTTGAGATTAAATAGAAGAAAATACAAAACATTAAACATGTTAACAACACAAAAGCCATATTAAACGCAGACTACTTTAGGCCCGGAAGCAGGATTCGTCACGTCATCACTTAAAGACTGGATAGAGCAGCTGCGAGTGAATTCAACATTATTGAATCAGTGGTACAGACGTGGAGGAAGCACGAAGAATGAGTCGAGTCAAGTTTGACTTATCTGACTGTTTTGTTAATGCGTTAATGCGTCTTATAATCCGGTGCACCTTATGGTCCGAAAAATACGCTAAACTATTGCCAGGGGCTAAGGTGAGGCAGCTCTACATTCTGGTGTAGCAGTGCAGCGTGGGAAAATGAGTCACTTAGAGATAATTCACAAAACTTTTCTACTGTGAACTGTGAGCACCAGTAAATGTGTTTTCTTCATGTGCTTTTTTCTGGTGTTTACTGGTCATGGTGGATTTACTGCATTGTAAAGTATATAGGAAAATGTTATATTAGCCACCATGGCTGCTGTCCAATTCATAGACATTATAAAGATTTTATAAAGCTGGAATTAGGAAAAGCAAAACTGTAACTAAAGAATATCATCAGCTTTTTAATTTAGAAATTTGAAATTCTGGACTCCTTCTAGAAGGAAGTCCTGCTGCTCAGCAGCCATAAACCTCAATTCACAAGTATGATGTGACTGATTACTTTTCCACTATGTAGCTTAATTACTGATTGGAGATGTTAATTCTTTACATAACTTTTCTAATCTGTAAAATGACCTTAAATCCACCTTTACATAATTACCAGCTAACAACATAAAGGCTACAGTTTCACACACCGGCCTAAAGAGATTTCGTGGCGATCGCCATAGCGATTCTGCTTTAGAAACATGAGCAGGTAGAAATAGAGCTGCAAGACTGACTGCTTACATCTGCCTTTGTTATATGTTGAAGATCGACCTTTCTCTACTGGGCTCTGAATAGTATTAAGCAGCAATTTTTTTAATTAAAAGATATTTTCAACAAGATATAATCAGATAACTAAGAGTAACTCATCGTGTGCAGATCTGTGTCAATGAATCTGGGACATTACACGTAAGCTTTACATTTATCACGTAATTTCCCGAGCAGACCTTTGCTATGTCCCAAAACATAGGCTGCATCCTTCTGAGGATCCGGCCTTCGCGGCCTACGTGGGCCGGGTCCTTCGAAGACCGAGATTCAGATTTGCATCACCGCTGTGTCAGTAGAGTTTAATAAACTGCTCCTTGCTATCTAAAATATAACAGGATGCTGGCGTAAATTCTCGTTTAATCAGTTTTCTGTTTGACATTTATTCAGCTGTGTGAAAATCCCGGAGAAACCCACGCAATGGATTAATAAAGTTATATTTCATATAATAATCTAATAACTTTGATCTCAGCCAAACCGATTTACTCTGGAACAAATAAAACACTGAAAAAAGCCAAACAATTACATTTTTAAGTTATCCGAGTGACTTATATATCATGTTTAACCTGAGTAGCGAAAGACAGCGGGG